GCCGTAGGAGATGGTCTTTCCGAAGCTCGTGGCCTTCCTTGCGGGACGTTCGTAGTGGCGTCAGAAAGAGGTACTATCCAAAGCCTGGCGCAAGAAGCTATAGTTGTGGGCTTATTTACGACGTGACTGGCCGGGAGGTGATCGATATAGTGAGGATTTGGCGTATCTCAGCTCAAAAGCTACCACGTCGAAGGCCGCCTTCCCGCAAGGAGATGCTGCCAGAAGAAACCCTCTCAATTCTTCTTCCTTCGTCTCGACCGTATCAGAATCTTTCGTGTCAATCCAGATCGATCGTCGCTCGCGGGTCGCACCGTTGTTGTCCTCTCTCTTTCAATCGTCGAGCTATCTTAAGCTTCAGCCTCCAAAAGTCGCCGACCGTATTCCTCTCGACTCGATCGCTAATCAGCCCGGAAGCCTGCAAATATCCGAAATCTTTTTGTCGCGGTTCGCTTTTACCCCGCATATATTCGTCCGCGTCGCGAGGTTGACATCCGGTGTGGGAGAGAAGCAAAAATGTTGCTTTGTCGATACAATGGAAAGTAATGAACTTCAAGGTGCTTGGCTGTCTGCCTGCTGCTGGTCAGTTCAATTCTCCAGGACGGGACGTTCGATAATGTGGCGCACGGACGTGGCTGGTGAATGGGTGGAGACTGAAGAGTGAGATAACTCAGCCACGGTGCAATCCGGTTGGTTCGGAATACGGAGACGCCCCGATTCCGCTTCTCGCGCATAAAAATTCCGAGCTGATGGGTTCCAGCCTTCTAGCACATTGAGTCTCCGAGGTTAACAGCATGGGCGAGGGACCTGAACGCGGGTCATAATTTGCACGGGCCATGCTGGCTCATGGAAACACCAGGTTGACGCAAGAGTGGTAGCTTTCTTGGGAGAAGCGAAGGTTGATTTCTCAGGGCAATTTGTGAACGCAAGTATGTGGCAACTCGTGAAACTGTAGCAGCTCAATCTTCAATCTTCGTGGGCGAAGTCACTGTGACTACAATCTCAATTGCCGTACCCAAAGCTCCGTCTGTTGATCTCACTGCTAAGCGGTTTGTACAATCACCAGAGAACGCAATGGTTTGAACGGTTGCGTTACCGTCTGCCAAGAGTAACGAACCCTATTATTCAGTATATCCAGTGCAGAATCTCCAACAAAGTATCATGACCAGAACGTATATTCTATTAAAAGCATATCTTCTCCCGGCAGATTCGGTTCGGCCGTTGCTCGACCAGCCAGATCCTCTGCCCGTGAATAAAAGCTCCCCTGTAACCCGTCTGCGCCAGCTCGTAACACATCCATGGGACCTCAAGGTGACGCAAAGGCTTTCAAAACAAACCTTTGCGCCCCCATTTCTCTCGCTCTTCAAACCCAAGTTTCCGCCTGTTGAAGACAATGACCAGAGCCCCCGACTTCATCGCAGTGGCGGCGGCGCGCGCATCCTCGTTTCCCCCTTTTCGGGGGAGCGGCGGTGGCGATCGTGGTGGGAGCCCCTTAACCCTCTCAGCATTTTCTGCTTTGCTGTAAAAAGAAGTCCAAGACCGTAGCAATGCAGCTTGTGTCTTATGCGGACTGCTGCTGTTGCTGCTGCTGGTAGTTGTAGGCGAAGTATGCGAGGACGCCACCGACGAGGAGAACGGCGTACAGGCCGATGCCGAAGCCGGGGCTCTCGGTGCTGGAAGCTGAGCTGCTGGCGGCAACCTGCTTCTTGGGAGCTGGGTCTCCGGGCTGTAGAAAGGGGGGAAGTCAGCACGATTGCTTTCTGCAGCTCGGACGTTGCGCGCGCGATCGCGGCAAAGTAAGAATCATTGCTTTGACTCACCTGGCGCTTCAGGTCACCGAGGTACAATTGGTCCAGGGTCTCGCGGGCCTCGTCGCTGTGTCCGACATCCTCGAAAGCCTCGGTGGCATCCTGACCACCGACGTCAAGAAGAACCTCCTCGCCACCGCTGTCAAGGAAAAAGAGGTCAGTTGGAGGTACTCGTCGAGAAAAATTGAAATCCTTAGGAGGAGGGGTACTGGCGCGAGAGTGGCGGGAGGCAGAAGCAGGTCTAGCTAAGTACTTACGGGTGCTCGTCGACGAACTTGGTGCAGTCGTAGATCTTGTCGTGGATCACCATGTAGATGTCCTTCTTGGTGTTGTGCTCAGCAACATCCTGGTAGGTGAGTTCGACAGCGCCCATTGTGACTGATTTGTGTGTAGAGAGACGGTAAAGGATTGTTGTTGGTAAACGTGGCTCCTATTTTTTTCTTCCTTCCTTGTTTATCGGAGGGGTGGGAAGTTTGTTGAGGGTCCTTGCTGATTTGGCTAGGATTCGGTGTGAAGAATTCGATTCGGTTTGCGCAACACAGAGCGGAGGGAAAGAATCGCAGGCGGAAAAGTTTGGCTTTGGGGATGAGATTAGGTGAGAGAGGAAGGGTAGGTTTTTTGGTGCAGGAGGAAGTAAGGAAAAAGGAATCGGACGAGAAGGAGGTCCCTCGGATGTTGTTGAGCCCGTTCACACTGCTTTATCGCGGGACCCCGTTAAAAATCGGGGGGGGGGAAAGCGCAGCACTTTGCGGACTGGGACTGACAGCTGATGGAAGCTTCCGCTGGGACCAAGCGGTCACTACCTGTGGACACCTCACAACAGTACTGGGCTTGGTACTAGCAGTCCGCTCAGGGGTGGACGGTGTCTTGAGCCAATGAGAAAAGAAGAAATTAGTGCACAGTTGCCGTGATTCGCTGGAGTGAATGTGGGCCGGGGATACTTAAGAGAGGCACCACAGTAAGGCAGGCGGCAGCACAAGGAAGAAGGTGCGATTTCAAAGGGGGGAGCCAATTTAGCTGGCGGAACTTGGTACCTTGTAGAGTCAGGACACTACCTCAGTAGGCAAGTAAGGTATTACCGGTAGGTATGTGACAATGGAAAGGACCCGACTACTTCCACAAGTTCCATGGCCTTCTTGCTTAGACCAGAGAGGAGAAGCTCGCCGGCCTCCTTCTCGGCATCGCACTCGGGTAGTTGAACCCCAGCCAGACAGACATTTGACACCCTTCCAAGGCTGCCACCGTTTGACGCATAGCACACACCCTGTTCACATACCCCAAATTCTCACATTCAGGCCAAGGTAATTCGTATACTCGAGTCTCACTCACCTACAACACCCGCGTCGATTTGCCATAGCCATCAACCGGAACCAAGGACCTTGGGCCAAGGCAAAACTGCCTTTCCTGGACCAGCCACGTCTTCCTTCGCTTCACCCCGCCCGTTGATACTCCCAAAGCGAATTGTCGAGTCAGGGCTCCCGCTGCAAAACTTAAACACTCGCCGCTTAGTACCGGGGGTTACTTCGTACCTAGTCTTCCACCTCTTTACCGCCCCCAGCTTCCGCGGTCGATCGACACTTTGAGAAAGAAAGAGAGCACGTTGCTAGCTCGTTTCGAAACGCATGGCCCCTCCAATCCTCCAACGGGGCGGAATCACATCGGTGTCCGCTACCGAAGCGGTTCTATTATGCAAAATGCCCTTCTACGCAGTATTCGGTACAGCTTGTATAAAAGGTATCTTGGAAGAAACCGACTACGACGTCCCCCCAAGCACACCGAGTGTCTGTCTGTACTCTACTGTACACAAGGGTCCGGCGCGGCCTCTCGTCTTCGGGGTCAAATTCCCCAGTTATTCGTGTTCGTAAACTCGCATTGCCAATCGCTGCTGCTTCCCACGCCTTCTCGTGGTTCACCAGCAGCCCGACTGCAACACCAAGTCCCGCAAATGCCCACACGTACCGCTGCAAGGTCATTGTTCCCAAATCCCGCTTCCACGGGGAACGCATACCGTCCCCCACCCTTGCCATCTGCGCCGTTCCCTCCCCTCGTCGTCAATCGACTCAATACTGACGCTATCGTTCCGTCGGATCTTGCCTTATCTCGCCGTTCCGCGGGGTTTCCTGGGCTGGACTAGGTGAATTAGCCTGGCTCTCCGGGCTGGGAGTCTGGACTGGACCAGCTGGGGCACACACGTACGGGATACACTACTACACTGCATGTCTGTACCTCGCATCTGTGACATCGCAGATAAAGGGCCGCCCAAAAACACACGCACATACACTTCGGACGGACTGATCACTGACCATTAAAAGAGTCCGGATCCCACGGAGCATACGGGCAGTCCAATTCCTCCAACGGAACATTACCTCAGCTATCATGAACTCACGAAATACAAAAGAGAGAGAGGCCAGCATCAACTTTCCTTGATTCTCCGAACGACACGTTTTCCTGACGTATGGAACCTATCGAGTGTCCAATTCCGCCGTACGGATATTTCCCCCCAATCCCGCAACCCACCCTTCGGGAGATTCGGGATGATGCCGAGGCAGTCCCGTGCGGTCTCCGGCCTCCGGTATCGTCATTCCCCTTGAACTCCCTCCCGAGTGCCAGGCTTCCCACTTGTGACTTGGTATGAGCCCAAAAGGCGGGGAACGCGCGGGGTAACAAGATTGAGATCCAGGCCTCAGCTCTTGACTCTTTTTAGATAATCGGCTGCGATAGCTCTTTTCTTTATGGGCGGTCGTGAAGATGTTATCGCGATATGTTACCCGATTAAGTAATTTCCGCCGGTTCGATTGACAATTCCGTCTACCACACATTTCCTCCTCTATTTTCTAGACGGTTGCTGCAATGGACAACCTGATGGCCCGAAAGCTAAAAGGGGTAATTCAGTTGCATTCTTTATCTGCTAAATTTCCTTGAGTCTCTCTGTTGAGGTAAGAGGTGACTTCCGCAGTCTATTTTTGTCGACACCCTTCCCAGGATCACACGTGGGAATGAAGCATACGTCCTTACCAAGGTACTTCTTTGCACTGAAAACCCTCCTGATAGCAAAAGTGATGTGTTGGTAAAGAAAGCTTTTTAAACCATTCCTAGCTTTGGCATGCTGAATGCACCAGTCGAGCAAACACTCTATATGTAGCCCTTAACAATCAAAAGACTCTCTCTTTCTGTCCTTCTTTCCCCACTCTCTCTTTATTTCCGGCCACCGCCAATATCCTGGCCCAGCCTGTACGAGGTAATCTTGTCCCACTCAATCTTCTGCCTCGTCACCGGCAGCTGTCGTCGCAGGCCCTTGAACGCGCCCTCGCTCAGGCTCGTGAACCCCCTGTTGAGCTCCTCCTGGTACTTCTTCTCCGACGCCGCAATCTCCTTGACGATGCCCGCGCCCGTGCCCGATGACACCGACGCCTGGCTGGGCCGGCTCGTGAGCAGCCTGACGTTGCCGTCTTCGTAGTAGTGCACGTCGACCTTGACGGAGCCCTCGAGGGCCTCGGAGGAGGGGTCGAAGATGTACACTGATCGCCATCGGCCGTTCCTGATGGTAATCCCATGGGTTAGTACATGCACCCGCGGCGGTGGGGAACGCTTAGGGAAGAGCGCTATAGGGGTATCACGTACCAGAAGTTGTTGGGAGAGTACTTGTTCGAGACGATTATGACGGCAACCTTGGAATCGTTCTCGGTGGGGTAGACGCCGTACGCGGCGTTGGGGAAGTGTTCCTGGACATAGGGGCCGAGGCTCTTCAACGTCGACTTGCTGTTCACGTAGCTCTCTCAGCATCACTGTCCTCATCTTGTTGTCTCGATTCCCGTAAAAAAAAAAAAAAAAACATACATCAAGTCCGAGTTGGCGCTCTCCAAAACGTAGCTCTGCACGTTGCTCGCCTTCTGTGTGGTGTGGTCAAAGGAGAAGCTCGTGGAGCTCTCCACGTCAAAGTACTGGCCGTCGCCGAGCGAGCTGTGCGCGCTAACAATGACCTGCTGGCTTCCGCCTGGCAGCTTCACCGTGACGAACTGCTCCTCGTTGTACTTTTCAAAAGCCGGCTCGAGGCTGGACACGATCTCGGGGTCCGATACGGTGAGCGACTTGATATCTTTGCGACGGTGTTAGCAGTTCGTTCGGAGCTGTCGGCCCATTCGTCTTCGTGGCAGAATTGGGGGTTAGGGTAGGCAAGTGCGGTTTACCTGCAATAACATCTGCGAGCTTCAATCGAGGTCAGCTTGGGGTGCGTTTCGCGACGTCATGCGCGTCGTAAGGGGATGGAGCTCGAGGCAAGTGGGAAGGTACCTCGCCTGGGGGAGCACCCTCCACGAAGGAGGACACGGTCTCGACTTGGGACATTGTGAGGTTGCAATCTGGTGCGGCGGAAAGGGTCAAAGGTTCTGGTCGCGCAATCAGTCTGTCGTTGAGTCGGTAACGATTGCGGCTGTACGGAGTAAATGGAGAGCTGTCTGCCTCTCTCGAACGTTGAAACGTAATGCGGGGCAGTTGGAGGCGGGACATGGGGAGGGGCGGATTGGCTGGGAAAGGGGGTTAATTGTTAGCGCGGGACCTCCACTTAAGCTGAAGGAAGTGGACTCATGGTGTACTTCCCCATCACGAAGCGAACATGTCAACGGGTTCGCTGCTACCTGCATCCAATTCATATCCAAAGCTAGCAGAACATTACTTATGAAGCTGTATGGCATGTCATTAAGGGTATGTGCTATGTTCTGGATTTTTCTTCTTCTTTATTTTCCCTATCACTCCTGGTCCCCTACCAAGTCTCAATAATCCAGAACCCGCTTAATATTGTCATAAACCCCTGAGATACGTTAGAAATCGTTGCAGCATTTATCATGGGGAGGAGGCAACACTTACTTGCAACATCAGGGATGTTGAACTTCTCATAAAGCAACGGGGTGTGAATGCTCCATCCAGCAACTCTTGCAACCGGTGCCTCCAGCCTCAAAAAGGTACCAGGATCCTCCTGGATCGTGGCAGCAACCTCAGCACCGATACCAGCATTCACCATCGCTTCGTGCACCACGATGCAGTGGCCTGTCTTGCGCACGCTCTGGAATACCGTCTCCTTATCCCAGGGGTACAGCGTTCTAAGATCAATGAGCTCGACAGAGATGCCCAGCTCCTCTTCGGCCTTTTGTATGGCCGACATGCAAGTATACAGCGGCTGTCCGTACGAGATAATCGTCACGTCCTTGCCCTCCTTCAGCACCTCCGCCTTGGACAACGGCAGCGTGTACGCTCCCGCGGGCACCTGCTCGACGGCCGCGCGGTACAGAATCTTGGGCTCCATGAAGATGCACGGGTCATTGCTGCGGATGGCCGCCAGCAACAGACCCTTAGCTTGTAGAGGTGACCGTGGCATGATCACCCGCAGACCGGGGATGTGCGTGAACAAGCTCTCGGGCGACTGCGAGTGATAGAGGGCGCCGTGGCCGACGCCGCCGCAGGGCATGCGTACCGTCAGACCACCAACGCTCCGGCCACAGGCGCCGTCCCTGTATCGGTACTTGGCTGCCTCGTTGACGAGCTGGTCAAAGGCCGGGTAGACGTAGTCGGCAAATTGTATCTCAGCAACCGGCCGCATACCCTCCGCGGCCGCGCCAATGGCGAAGCCCATGATGCCCTGTTCCGTCAATGGCGTGTTGAAGATGCGGTCGGCACCGTACGTCTCTGCCAGCTTCATCGTGCACCGAAAGACGCCGCCAAAGGCAACGTCCTCGCCAAAAACCATGACGGAGTCGTCCTCAGCCAGGGCGATGGAGAGAGCATCGTTGATGGCTTGAAACAGGTTCATCTTCTTTGTCGTGCCATCGCGCACCTCCGCCGGTAATTCGGCCGTGCCGAGAGCAGTTTGTGAAGAGTGCGCGAGGAGTGACGTTGTCGCGTAGTCCACGGGTATGTTGAGCTTTGCATTGGGCGGGTGTGTCGAGTAGAGCCGGGGGCCCGTTGCAAGGGGTGGCAGAAGTTGTGTCGATACCGACGGCGCCAGCGCTCGCCGCAGTGGACGTAATGAAATTGACGACGACCTCATTGTGAATGGTACAGAGAGAGATAGAAAACCCAAAGATCCCTTTTTGAGAAGCCAATGCCTTGTGGTTTGTGTGAGTTCTATTCGTAGAGATGAAGGGAATTGAAGGACGGGAGCCGGCTCAGACGAGGTAGGCCCTCGTTGCTAACCCGAAGGATGGCGGGTGATGTAAGTCAATCTTCGGCTTGCGACGGCGTTCGCGGGGTTGAAGCGGCTCCTGTCAGCCACAGACCCCTGTAGCCACTTAACGCCCTGATAAGGAGGTACTGGGGACACTGGGGCCACTGGGACCAGAGCTCAAGGTCGATTGTTGCCCTGCCAACAGCCGATGCGCCAAAGCACCTCCAAAAACAAGGCAGGAGCAATTGGAATACGACATTTTGGTACCCTGGCACCAAGCGAAGGCCAACGAGTACTTCGTACACGACGCAAACGTATTTCCCGCAAACCCGTGCCTTTTCTACCTAACCGCCAGGAATGTCATCCGAGTCGCGAACATTCCAGTGCAACGGCGACTAGGTTACTTTCACCCAACGAGGACGACTTTTTGCGACAAAATAGAAGATGGCGCCCGGTGAATCTTCGAGACCGTCGTCGCATCGACCACGAGACTCATCGGGCAGGAAACACCACAACAAGAAACGACGATCACGCGCAGAAGGATCTAGACGACCGGCCACAGATTCCGGCGAAAGCAGAGACGAGAGAAGGTCACAATCGCTGTCCGTGGATGCGTTAGCAAAGCTGGACCAGGATAACGTCAAGAGGCAAAAGAGAAGGGAAAAGAAAGAAAGAAGTGCGGGTGCTGGGAGACCATCGAGGGACGCCAATGCAGACGCAGACGCAGAGCGGCGGGAGAGACGGAGGGCACGACGCGAAGCAGCCTACAGAGATGCGCCCACAGAACGACCAAAACGGGTGCGGCGAGAGGTGGATACGGAGGCAGTCTACGAAAAGCCCAGGAGGGAACACAAGAACAAAAAGAAACGGGTGGTCAGTGGCGCGATTATGGAGGAGGGACGGTCGAGAGGCCACTTGAGAGGCGGAGGGTGGAACAGCTCTGACCACAGCTTCGAGAAGGAGTATCTCATGGAGGACCCTCCGAAACCCGTCAAGAAGCGGAAGAAGCTTTGTAGGTTGCTTTGAATCGGGAGCTGGAGACGTTGACTAACTGGCCATCAGGGATATGTCTCAGTGTCTCATTAGTGCTTCTCATCATCATCATTGTAGTGGCCGTGGTGGTCAGCAAGAACAATAACAAGAGCAGCAACACGAAAACGACCCTCGACGACGGAAATAAGGACAGCGTCCCGATGAAGTGGCGCGGCACCTACCTCGATCCGTGGTCATGGGATGACACAACCGATTTCAACGTCACATTCACGGAGCAGATGGTCGGCGACCTGCCCGTCATGGGTCTCTATACCGACTGGGACGACTCGAAACGGGCAAACGACAAGGTGCCGGCGCTCAAAGACGCTTGGGGCTCCTACGGCTCGCGGCCCGCCCGCGGCGTCAACGTCGGCGGCTGGCTAAACCTCGAGCCCTTCATCACCCCTTCCCTCTTCAACTACGACTCCCGCCTTGGCATCATTGACGAGTACACGCTCTGCAAGCACCTCGGCACCAAGCAGACGGCCGAGGTCCTCGAGAAGCATTACTCGACTTTCGTCACCGAGTCCACCTTCAAGGAGATCGCCGACGCCGGCCTTGACCACGTCCGCATCCCCTTCAACTACTGGGCCGTCGAGGTCTACGACGGCGACCCCTACCTCTTCCGCACCTCGTGGCGCTACCTCCTTCGCGGCATCGAGTGGGCGCGCAAGTACGGCCTCCGTGTCAACCTCGACGTCCACGGCCTCCCGGGTAGTCAAAACGGCTGGAACCACTCGGGCCGTCAGGGCGCCATCGGCTGGCTCAATGGCACCGACGGCGCGACCAACGCCCAGCGCAGCCTGGATATGCACGACCGCCTCTCCAAGTTCTTCGCCCAGGACCGCTACAAGAACATCATTGCCTTTTACGGTCTCGCCAACGAGCCGCGCAACGTGGACCTCAACAACGCCGATGTGGTCTCGTGGACCGCGCAGGCCTACAAGCTCGTCAAGGGCAACGGCATCGGCGGCGTTGTGGTGTTCGGCGACGGATTCATGGGCCTGGCCAACTGGCAGGGGAAACTGACGGGCTACAGTGACCTCGCGCTCGACGTACATCAGTACGTCATTTTCAACACCGACCAAATCGTCTACACGCACAAGAAGAAGGTCGAGTACGCCTGCAGCGGGTGGACGGAGCAGACGGAGCAGTCGATGGACACCTCCACGGGCTACGGCCCCACGCTCTTCGCCGAGTGGTCCCAGGCCGACACGGACTGCGCCAAGCACCTGACCAACGTCGGCTGGGGCAACCGGTGGACGGGCACCTACAACACGGGCAACGCGACGACGTCGATCCTCGAGCCGCGGTGCCCGACCCAGGACTCCAAGTGCGACTGCGACACGGCCAACGGCGACGCGGGCGGCTTCAGCAGCGACTACAAGAAGTTCTTGCAAATGTTTGCCGAGGCGCAGATGCACTCGTTCGAAAAGGGGTGGGGGTGGTGGTACTGGACGTGGGACACGGAGAGCGCGCCGCTGTGGAGTTACAAAAAGGGCCTCGCGGCCGGGATCCTGCCGGCCAAGGCGTACGATCGGGACTTTGACTGCTCCGGGACCGTGCCGGACTTTGGGAGCTTGGCGGAGACCTACCGGATGTGAGAGGGAATGAAACGGACGGAAAAATGCGTCAACTTTCGGAAGTTCCGTACCGGAGGTCCGGAGGTGAGGTGCTTTGTGAGTGGGCCTAGTTGTGCGGCTCTGTTGACGACGTGCATTGTGTTGTCCGACGACATGCGTACCGGGGGTTTTATATATGTGTGTTATCTTGCATGTAATGGGCGTTTTTTTTTGTTTTTTATTTCTCATCTTTATTGTTTTTCTTGTCATTTACCCCCTGTTTTCGGGGGTCAAGAGTTCAGCAAACTGCATTTTCAAACCCAACGAAAGCGAGAAATATCAGTATACTAGAAAGAGTAGCGGGCTCATCATGATGATGATCATGTAAGTAAACAGAGGTACGAAGGAAAAGATGGAAAGGGGCCTCATGTATGATAATAACGCTTATGGAGACTGCACATGATTTCACCTCCATCAGAGTAGATAGATAGAGGAAGAAGGAAATGACGAAAAAATCACCGGTTATCGAGGATTACCTGACCTACCTGCCTCCTTGCACTGCCCCAAGTTGGTGGTGAGCTTCAGTATTGTAAATCATAGGCAATTAGTAGTGAACGTTTTAGATTACCAATCCTCATCGTAACTCCGTGGGATACTCAGCTTAAAGGATCTCCACGCCTCAAATCACAAATCAAAACACGTGGATTCCCTTACTCTCAATCCCATCTGAGCTAAGCCACCCCCAAAGGCCCCGATCGGCGAGCCGGCGCCGCGGGGAGAAAAGGCCCAAATATTGGAGTGTCTGTCTGTGTGTGGCAAGCTGTCAGAAAAATTGGCAATGCGCGCAGACACTGGGCAGGAGACCAAGATAACGGTCTCGCCCGGCGCCGGGAAAAGCTGCCGACAATTCAATGTGACTGACAACCCTCTCGCGGCTTCGGCCCTCTACAAAAGAAGCGAAAGTGACAATCCAGTGTTTTTTTTGCTGGGCCTGCAACATGCGAAAGCGGGGATCGATCACCTCAAGAACCCACATGCTGGGCAGTCTGAACTCTGAACCCATCTAGTCAGATCTCAAGATGGACAGAGTCGGAAGCTAGCCAAAGTATGATAGATGGGAGAGGACCACCAAGCTTATCGCGAATTCGCACGTCCTCTGCGAGTCTGTGGTCGGTGAACCATTCCATCGGGCCGCGTCTAACAGCCGTGGAGTGGAATTCCGCCAAGACGGGCTGGGTTTCTACTCAGCACCACATCTCGACGTATGTTGCTCGAACAGTCGACAGATCAAGGTTACAGGGCCAAATTTAGCACCTGTGACTCGTTGCAGGAGTGACAAGAGGTGGCAGGCGCCTCCTGTCTCAAATGATCCCAGGTTCCAGACGCCGAGGATCCCCCCGTCTCTTCCCGCCGCCGCCAGCTGAATGAGAAACTGCGACTTGTGAAATGTCTGGAATGAGCCAAAAAAGGTCGTGGTGAATCTCGGCTCTTCCGACGTCATATCCATGACGGTTTATTTCCGAGAGAACCCCGTCCCTTCTGTCACCCTTTCGGCCAACGTAAGTGCAGCCAAAAGATAATAACAATACTAATAAAATGTTAGCAATCGAAAACTCGCGCGAACTAACGCCGAATAGCTCGAGACCCCTTCTCATTGGACCCTTCCATCCGCTCTCACAAGAATAGGCTGTTGGCTCCGATGCAGAACTGGAAGATCCCCAAGGCGATGTAGGGTCCAACGCAGCGTCATCCATCCCACAGTTTTGTCACCCATCCAGGGGGCTCTATGACACACCTGCATGCCCCTCTCCATCTCCTCTCCTCTCCTCTCTTATTCCCTTTCGCCGCGATGACGAGATCCACCCTAGTCCGCGGTGTGCTTCCTCTCGAAAGAGCGAACCGCGTTCTGGGCTGAATAATCGTCGAGAAGTGCATGGGAAAAATTGCCAAACGGGTCGCGCCGTCTAGCCATCCGGTCGTCTTTGACTAATGCGTGTGAATGGATGCGGTGCCGATGGCGCGAGGTCCCCACTATCCCATCCACTTCGAGGTCCTCGCGCCATTCTTTGCCTTGTTATCGGGAAAACTGCAAAATCCATGAAAAAGAGGTCCTCTTCCATGAACAGACTCGTCCCTTTCACTGTTTCTTATTCTGCGTCTTTGAAACAATCGGAAGAGTTGCAGTGAGAGAGGAGCCGTTTCTCCCACTTCCAAATAAAAACTACTGCCCTGCACATACCTCCGTTCGCAGTAACGCCCAGCCCAGCAACAGACTGATCTGATCCTGTCACGATCCACACGACCGCTGGAACTCGGAACCAGGCCCATAATAACCACGCGGGATATCCGTACAAATATCCGACATCCGCAATCGGCCGACTACTGCGCCCTTGATATCAAGTCGTTATCAAGCGGCCCTGAGTAAGACCTAAGTTGGAGAGAAAAAAAATTGTCGAGGATCGTTGTTGCTTTTCTCCCTTGCGGCGTTTGACGATAATCATGACGAACGAAGTCGAAAAAGACATTGAAAAGGCCGAGAGCCATTCATCAAATCAGGACGATGACAGCGCCACAGTTCACGAGGACTCGGGCTTCGAGCCCATCCGCACGGGCGCCGCCGGTACACGGTCACTCCGTCAGTCAAGATCATTGACCCGGACGCGGTCACAAAACGGCTACAGCTGTGACGACTACCAAGAGGACGACAGCTCGCCAAGAGAACCGGAAAAGGACCAGTATGAAGTGACTTTCGAGGGCGGCGACAGCGATCCCATGAGTCCACGTAGTTTGGGCAAGGCGAGAAAGTGGCTCATTGTATCCATTGTATCGTGCGCGAGTTTTTGCGTGTAAGTGAAGTCAATCATCGACTCTGTGATGAGATGTTGACGTGCAAGACAGTACCGCTGCGAGCTCCATCTACACCTCGACGTATGCCCAGATGGATGCAGAATTCGGCAACTCCCGACTGGTGAGCACTATTGGCCTGTCAGTCTTTGTTCTCGGCATCAGCTTGGGCCCCATGTTCCTGAGCCCTCTCAGCGAGTTTTACGGACGCCGGCCCATCTATCTCGTCTCTTGGTCCATGTATGTCATCTGGATCATCCCGTCAGCAGTCGCCAAGAATATTGCAACTATGATCGTTGCCCGATTTTTCGACGGTTTGTCTGGCAGTGCCTTCCTCGCCGTATCCGGTGGCACAGTGAGTGACTTGTTTGCTCGTCATGAGCTCCAAGCCCCTATGCTCATGTACTCACTTGCTCCCTTCATCGGACCATGCATCGGCCCGTTGATTGGTGGCTTCGTCAACTACAACGCACACTGGAGATGGACGTACTATGTCATGATCATCTGGGCTTTTGCGCTTTTGGTCGCCATTGTCGTATTCGTTCCTGAGACTTATCGTGAGTGTCCATGGAGGGTGCGCCCTCAGACTAGCTTGTCAGAGCTGACTTTTTGCTTCCAGATCCGATCGTCCTGCGGACCAAGGCACGCAAGATCCGAAAAGAGACAGGTGACGAGCGGTGGAAGGCCCCTGTTGAGAACATGACCAAGTCCGTCATCAAGACAATTGGCATCTCCTTGATGCGTCCCTTCCAGCTCATTGCCTTTGAACCCATGGTCCTCAGCCTCGACATCTTCTCGGCCATTCTCTTGGGTATTCTGTACCTTTTCTTCGGCGCATTCCCCCTCGTCTTCACAACGATCCATGGCTTCAACCTGTGGCAAGTCGGTCTCACCTTCCTGGGTATCCTCGTGGGCATGTTCCTTGCCGCCGCGACGGACCCCTTGTGGCACCGTATCCGTAGTCGACTCATGGCCGACTTGGAAAAGGAGACGGGCGTCGAGGGTGCCAGCGAGCCAGAGTTCCGCCTTCCACCAGTCATCCTGGGAGCCTTCCTCTGTCCCATTGGCATCTTCTGGTTTGGTTGGAGTCTTCATGTGCACTGGATCATGCCCATCATTGGATCCGCCATTTTTGGAGCTGGGTAAGTTCACATTTCCCTTCGCACAGCATCGTACCCATCATCCAAAGTTGGAAAAAGGCCCGTGGTTCCGCAACATGCGCATCTTGCTGCCGTGACAAGACAACCCCGTGGTTGCTTGAGCAGGCCATCTGCAGGCTTCTGCAGGTTCATGCGCTGGCGTGTGCTTTCGGCCGTTAGGTATGCTTTGTCAGGCTTCCACGGAGCGTGGGGTGGTGTTGTTTTCCCATCTTGTATGCAGGAATATGCAACTGACCGTCTTGATGTGCCGCAGAACTCTCCTCGTCTTCACTGGGATCTTTACGTTTCTTGTAAGTGGAATATGTCCCGCCAGCTCCCCGCTTGTGGCGTTCCAGGGGTTTGGAATCAGTCTCAGGCCCGGAGGTTACACGACAGGAATTGTGCTAAAGTTGGGGCTCACAGGTCGATGCTTATCCTTTATACGCCGCCTCGGCCCTCGCAAGTAATGCGTTTGTGCGATGCATGTTCGCTGGTGAGTTGCCCCGTGGCACCAACGCTCTCAACCACTCAGTTGGGAGGTGTCGTGTTTCGTTCGCGGTGCTGACTTGGACTCCCCTTTCAACAGCCGCATTCCCGTTGTTTGGAACGCAAATGTACAACAAGCTTGGATATTCTTGGGCTTCGTCACTGCTCGCCTTCTTGACGGTGGCCATGCTCCCGTTCCCATACATCTTCTTCAAGTATGGCAAGAAGATCAGAAGTCGTAGTCGGTTCGCCACGCGGGCGTGAGACAAGGCAGCAGAGGGCAGAAGTCCACAACGGACAAAAACGAAGTTGACGAAGGTGACAATGCAACGAGAGATTCAGCGAAGGCCGGTGAAGGATCAGGCGTGGACGGCACCGCACAGACTTTCCGCATCGGTGTGGAGGACCAGCAAAGAGGCTGCCGGGCTGTGAATGGTTGACAGTGACCGCATGTCGCCTCGCTGCCAGTGTTGTTGGTCGTGGGTGCGCATCTTGCCATGATGAGCGCGTTCCTGACCCAGGCAGTCGAGCTGGGCTGCCACTCTGCATTATTGGACGACTAGTGAGCGGGAGTCGGCGCGCAGCAGATGCGGCTGTTGATCGCGTCGATCGTCATGAGGTGGACGGCAGTAACCGTCTGCAAGTGCTCAAGGCGTCGGGCTGTCATTGATGGAAAGGTCATCAGGCAGCCATAGCGAGAAAGTTGGATGGTAACGCGGCATACGGAGGCTGGTCGAGTGGCTGCCAATGACGGGCGAGAAGCCTTGCTTGATTTTGTGCTCACATGCAATGAGATACCCCGAGCGGTTGATGGGCTGCAGATGGATAGACAGACCGACGCTCGGCACGTCGGCTAGAACCAACATTAGTTAATGCAATGATACCACCCTCATCCTCAGCGAGCCGTGGCACGTATAGCACTGTCACGACTGCCCAGGGAGGTGTGAAGCTGGGTGTAAGTCGTCACTCGGCCCTCGGCTTGGCTTGTCTTGGGATCAGGCAAACTGCGAACTGCGGATGTTGGATGTGGAGATCGTATTGGATCTCACATGCAGCAATGGGAACAGTGAGAATGCCAGATGTCCAATAAAGTGGCTTGCAGTTGCGTCGCTAACGTAATGCCGTGCGACTGAACCTGGCCATATTGGAATCGTTGAGACCAAGGCGCAGCAGATGACAAACGGATGGTCATTGTTTCCTGGGTTCGAATTCCGGTCTTGTCGTGGATGATGTAAGTTGACATGATGGAATTCAAATCGTGGGTGAGGTGAGCAGAATATGGCCTGGCCAACCTGGTCCGGATCCAGCTGCGAGGATGTGAAGTTGCGAGTTTGTGTCTTGAGGAGCCTTTGCTCGGATTGCATCTGGCGCAAGTGGTATGGCAAGGCAAGTAAGTGCACAGGTGCATAATATGTAAGGCAAGGTATTCTGCAGGAGCAGGCGGCAGGCATGTGTCCGACTTTTCAACTACCCCCTTCCTTCCTTGAGGTATCCGTAGTACCTACCTACCTTACCTTATGTACGGTATTAAGTCCAAGAAAGTACAGACGAAGATGGGTTGTTTCCGTTTCTGTTCGGAACTACCGTACTGCCTTCCACAGTCCACAACGGTTACTGCAAGTCCGACTGTCCGTCACCTTAGTTTGGATGGATGCGACGGGAAGGAGAGAAAGTCACCCCAAAAGTGTCTCCGACCCTGCCTATGGTGCCACGGGCGCCAACTACCTACACCAACGGGAGACTCGAGGACCTGGATGACTGTGCAGCCGTAACAGCGTTCCGTCGTGGGAAGGACAGACTTGTGCATTGTATTATATACATCTTCAACATCCCGCTTTGTGTGGTGCTTCATGTAGCAGGAACTCATAAGGCACGAAAAGTGGATTTCTCGGCCGGTGCACCCACATTCCCCCTCAGCCCAACGAATGACGAGTGTGACATTTTCTCCAAGAAAACCCCGCAGCTCAGCACGCAAATCTTTGACCAACAGCAGCGAGGCTGGGGCATCCGTTTTCTTTTTGGGCCTGTTAACTGCTGTATTTCACTTACCACCTTACGGATACTGCCCGTAACTTTGGTACCTTGTCTATCCCGTCCCTCTCGTTTTCTTTACCGGCCGCCGCCAGCTCTGACGACAAACCTCTCGCGTGCTCCTCTTCCACCCGACCGAGGATAAACATCACGACTCCAAAATCTGCCCCGACCTCCCGACGACGCCGCTTTCCCCTCAATTGCGCCGCTGCGCTTGCGATCGAGAACCTGCGAATGCGATCCGCCCTACCAGTGCTACTTATTGCAAAGTAGCCCACCAAACTCCCGTACCGCGTGTCAATGCTTGCATCAGACAAGCACAGGGACTACGGCTTCCTGCATATACCATTTACTCCCTCGACCTCTAAAAACGTCCCTCACTTCACCCCGGCCCAGCGCCGTCAGCCGGCTATCCGCCCAGCGACTCTGTCTACCACCTTGTCCCCGCGACCTCATGTGGTCCGCGACGCGAACACCGGTCTCGAGACGACTGCGCCAACCATCGAGTCCAAGGGACCTAGTCCTGTCGTGACGAGCACGTCGCACAAGAAACGCCTCTTTCCTCTCCACCAACTCACTATTGGAGACTCCTGACTGCTGAGGATACGAGCTGTGGGAGACCCAAGGCTCGCCGCCTCCGTTCTTTCTGCCCTGCTCTGCTTGTAAGCCGCCTGCCCCCCCTGCGGCGCAAAGAGAACCAAAAGAGAGAGGGAGAAAACAAGGCTCTACCCGACCTATATCGCGGGAGCGCACAGCGCCTATTTCTGGCCCTATTCTCCCATACTACGTCGTCGCGGGAAACCATTGTCCGGCTCGACTCCTATTCGCAGACTCGAACTGCCACTACGCACACGGGTCTTGGAGATAGTTAGTCACGCAGTGGTGGTGTACTTTGAGCTGTGTGTGTGGCAGCAGCCCAGCTAGAAAGAACCCCGGCGTGTGTCACTCTACACCAACACAGGAGGGATTTTCTGCTTTCTTTCCTATTATACGACGCCTATCCAGCGCGACGCCGGGCCCGCCCACATACGTTTGAAAGTGAGCCGTGTGGTTTCGCAAACGGACCACCAGCGACATTCGTGGACCGGGGCTTGCAGTGCCGTGCCGTGCCGTCACTGCGCCAGCTCCCGCGCACGCCGTTATCACATTTCTGCCCAAGGGGAGGCTTGTATATATAAATCCACGACACCATGCCTGACGGCCAGGACGACACCGGGCCAGAGGTCTCGGATGCCATGTCAGATAATGACCACGACTACGACGACGACACCCCCGTAAGAGACGACGACGACGAAAAGATGGCTGAATCTCACGACAGTGGCGCCGATACCAACGGCGAGGTCAAGAAGAAGTACGATCCCAAGGATCCGTCACGACCAAGGAGGAAGAAGGCTCGCCGGGCGTGCTTCGCCTGCCAACGAGCCCATTTGACTTGCGGTAAGCTTTGCCCGATTCCTCAGGGTCCGGCTCGCGATAGTCTCTGGTCAAGTGAACACCCGTGAAGTCATGTAATGTTTTGACAAAAACCCCGTGGTAACCGGGGTTTAGCTGCCTACTCCACTCACATGGCCGTCTGCGATGCAACCTTGCTGATGGGATGGCTACAGGAGATGAACGACCTTGTCAGCGATGCATCAAGCGTGGACTCGCAGAGGCTTGCCAAGACGGCGTCCGTAAGAAAGCAAAGTATTTGCATGATGCTCCGCCCGAAGCTCTACGGCCCGTACTAGGTCCGAACTACAACCCGAACGCGGCGCCCGCCCGCCCTAACGGCCAACGGCATCACAGCGGGGCCTCGGATACGGCCTCGACAGCAGGCAGCACGTATTTTGGTCAGAGCTCAACCGCATCATTCCCCGTGTACTCGGGGCAGCAAACGCCTGTCGGCATCCCCGATGGCCTGCCGTATCAGACGCAACCATCGCCGATATCACCGTCTTTTCCGCAGCCGAGCAACACTGCTCGATCCATTGGCGGCATGATCTCGCCGCAGGTCGCCAACGACCCCTTTAATACGTTATTCGATCCAAGCAACCCAGCAATCTTCAACTTTGATCTGGAAGGGCTCAACTTTGGCAGCCAGTACGGCGCCATGGAGTTCGGCATGCTAGGGCACATGTCATCAGGCGCAGCCGAGACCCCTCCGCGTGACGGCTCCCTGTCAGGACCAAGTGGTGAAGTCAACTTTGGATCCACAAACGTCTTTGGCAACAATGGCAATAACCAGTTTGGCCAAGTATACGATAGCGGTATGATCAACGATTTCATGGGTGTAGACCAGTCTTCCAACGGCATGTACCAACAAGGCAATCTGCAACATGGCCTTCCACATGCCTACGCCATTGCTGCTGGCCCAACAAGCCTACATAGTCCAAGTACAGACAACACCGCCAGCCCGCAACCTACTAACTTTACCTTTGAAGGATCTCCAAGTGGGAACTTTGGCGCTGTTGGAAACTCCCAGACCATAACCGCCCCGACGCGGCCCAAAGCAAAGACCGGCGCCCCTCAAAAGAGCGGCCCTCACACGCTGCTCGGCAAGAGGCAACGCGACCCTTCGTCCATTTACGAGACCGTAAAAGAGCCGTATCCGTATCTCGCCGGCTTCCACGCTCTCATCGACTACCTGCCGAAACGCTTCTCGGCCAATATGACGCTGCGCATCGCAAAGGCGCTCGCCAGCATTCGCCCGTCATTTATAGCCTGCACCAAGACCCTCAGTCGCCAGGATCTCATCTTCATGGAGAAGTGTTTTCAACGCACTCTATTCGAGTACGAAGAGTTCATGCACCACACCTCGGCGCCCACTATTGTCCTCCGCCGTACTGGCGAGATTGCCGCCGTCAACAAGGAGTTCATCGCTTTAACAGGCTGGACCAAGGATGTTCTCCTCGGGAACGACCCCAACTTGAACGTCAACACCGGCGGTACCGGGTCGACGACCAACAGTGGCCGCAATACTGGCCGTGCGGGCTTCTCAACGCCAAAGGCACCCGCCGCAACGCTTGCCGACCAGATCAAGAATGAGAGCGGACCACGGAAACAGCCCGTCTTCATTGCCGAGATCCTCGACGATGACAGTGTGGTTGAGTTTTACGACGACTTTTCGCATCTTGCTTTTGGCGACAGCCGAGGCAGCGTCAACCGCACATGTCGGATCCTCAAGTACCGCACGAAAGAGCAGACGGAAAGCGCGGCGTCGTCAGACATGACGCCGCAGCAGGACCCGCGCAAGAGCATACTCAGCAACCGCGTTACCCGAATCGATGGCGAGCACGGCATCTCAAAAATTGAGAAGGACGGCAAAGTGGACTGCCGGTATTGCTGGATGATTAAACGAGACGTATTCGATATCCCCATGTTGATTGTTATGAACGTGAGTATCTCTGCTCTTGAGAGTGTGACTGTCGAAGAAGACATGGACTGACAGATTGCAGTTTCTTCCATGCTATTCCCAGAATAAGGAAACTCATGGACTGGCTGTGTGAGGTGAGGTACTAAAAAAAAAGGGCGATCAGAGCACACAAGAGGGAGGGGAGAGGCATTGGAGGCGTTTTTCACTTTGATTCAAAGGTCCAGTGTGTTCTCTCGTCATTTGTTTGACATTACCATTTCTCGTTACAGGGAGAGGCCGGGAAAGGCGCATCTTTGCGGAAAGGATTGATCGATGGTCATATAACTCATTCTTTCCTTCACAATACTTCACTTCAGCCAACAACCCCTCGGGGAGAGAGGGGAAATACCCAAGGACCCTATATGTTTTGGACAGACAGAACCTTTTTTCGAATGAATGCATTCTTCTATATTTCTAACGCTTCGTCTGTTTGTTGTTTGTGTACCTTTTGTGAAGAGACTTCATAATCATGAGAGGTGAATGAGACAAGGATGTGATGTGATCATGAGAGATTTCGGCTTCTCGTTTTTGCAGAGCCTAAGCCTTGGGCAGCTCCTCAACCAACCACTTGGCATCGAGCGTCCCGTCCACGGTGCCCTTGGGCCGCAGCGCCTTGGGCGGGTGCCACGCGTCCCTGGCGAGCGAGTTCCTGGCCACCTCGCAATCGGTGTTGATGTCCGCAATCAGCGCCTCGAGGCTCTTGTAGTCGAGCTCGTCGCGGACGAAGCCCAGGATCAGCAGGCGCATGTGGGCGTCGTAGAAATCGGCGGAGAACTTGTGCAGGACGTGGACCTCGGCGGAGCGGACCGTGTTCTTGTAAAAGGGGTTGTAACCGATGGACATGACCATGGGGTAGAGCTGGAAGTCGATGTGCGGCTGCGCGGGGCCGGCGCCGGCGGTGGAGGATGTGCCGGGGGCGGCGACGCGGTCCGGGTGCGAGGCGGGCAGGGAGAGGGAGGCCCAGCCGAAGTAGACGCCCGATTTTATGGTGTCGATCCAGGGGGTGAGGGAGGCGTCTACGGGGAGGTTTGCGGTTGGGATGCCAAGCTGTGGTGGGGTGGTAAGTATTGGGATGGAGGTTTGGTGAGATGTTGTGCTCGGGGAGGATGGTGGGTAGATGAAGAAGTATGGGGGTGTGAGTTTGGGGCGTTTTGTGTAAAGATCGTGAGAATGAGCAGAGCAAGAGATGAAATCGTCGGTGAAGTGGTTGCCTTAGAAAAAGCCGTGACCGACTTACCTCCTTGGACCCCCGACCGAAGCCAGAGATAACCTTGCCTTCCATCTTGTACGGGTAAGGAGCCTCCGGCCCCGACTCGGGGCCGACGATGAGGGGACGAGTTGTCTCTGTTGCCACCATCTTTGCTGTTTTTGGTTTCTCCTGGCCTCTCTCTTGACTCCTTTTTGTACACACTGCCCTCTGTGTTGAGAGGTGGTTGAAATGTGCGGTTGTCGCGATGCTGATTAATCCAACACCGAGGTGAGTGAGTGAGATTCTCAACAGTAAGCCTGGTGGAGCTTGGTATCTGGTAAATGTGTTAATTCAGGGGAATCAGACGCAACGAGGTAGCATAGCTTACATTGAAAAGAAGTTTGCGGCTGTAAGAAAAGATCTCAAGATTTTTTTTTCCCAGTGTGAGAGTGAGAAACGTCAGACAGATTGCGACATTGGGTGAGAAGAGAGCCGCTTCGATGATGAGATGAAGGTGGTGGTGGGGCTGCGGGATGAAATGGAGGGGTCGTCGTTCCGGTGTGACTGATTGGAGCCGGAAGGTCCAATGCGGGCGATTCGGGCGGCTTCGATAAGGCTCTCGAGGGAGAGTGGGTGCAGGTGCAAGTGCAAGGTGCACCTGCCCTGGTGCGTTATCGATTTTGCGATCGGGAGGGGCACGACGTTGCGCCAACCAACCTCAGTGGGGCCTCCCTCTCTTGCCTTTTGGAGGGGGAAGGACAAGCCAGCAGGCAGGCCGGGGGGCTGCCGTATGACAATGCAGTCATCTTCTTTGTTTATTCTCTCGTCCGATGATTTTCACAGATTCAATTGATTCGTCCCGTGTAAGTGTAAGACGTGAGCAGGTTGATCATAGGAAGCACAATCAATTGACTACATTTCCCAAGAAGTAGATCCATTATATAAATAAGTAGATGAATACATGATATTCTGTTGCCTGGACGCAAACTTTCTTCGTTTATCTAAAGACAA